ATTCACTCAGTTACTAACGCGAACTTAGGCAGATCAATATTCGCTCCCTAAGGAATAAAGTTGCTTTTTTGGAAGCATTTCTTATAGACAAAGATTATGATGCCCTGTGTCTATCAGAGCACTGGCTCAGCAATGAAGAAATGAACGAATTAGGACTAGAAAAATTCATATTATCAAGCAGTTTTTCAAGAACTGGTAATATTGGAGGAGGCGTTGCTATTTACTTGAAGCAAAGTCTAGTTTTTAGTAATTGTATTGTAATAAATAACTTGAGCATCCAAGGATGTATTGAGTGTTGTAGTGTATATGTTAAAAATTTCAATGTTTATATTTTATCTCTCTATAGGCCACCACAGGGCTGTTTTGACACTTTTTTAGATGTACTGGAGACAATCTTGAATAGGGTAGGTCTTGGCAAGAAAATCATACTAGCTGGTGATTTTAACATACACTTCAATACAAATGAGATAGAAAATCAACGTTTGGGAGATAGTCTTGAGAGTTATGGCTTTGTACAAACAATCACATCACCCACTAGAGCTAGAGCATGTCTAGATAATATATTTGTGAATTTCAGCACTGATTCTTTTTCAGCTGATACAATAGACCTTAGTATATCAGATCATCTGGGTCAAAGGTTGTTGGTACCAATTACTGATAACAGTACAGAGATGAAGCTAGAGAAGAAGGTATGTAGGCCAATTACCCAGTCTGGTGTGTTTTTTACAGTATGATTGAAGCTAGTGATTGGAACTTTGTTAATGATAGGAATTTGTGTGTGAATGCAAAATTCAGTAAATTCATGTCCATCTTGGAAGAAACCTATAAGATATCTTTTCCTGAAAAGACATATAAAATAAGAGCTAGTCAGGGGCATCATACAACATGGTTTGATGATACTCTAAGGGCTATGCGTGATCATTTAAATTTTTTGGGAGAACTGTATAGACATCACAACAGCATAGAACTGAGGCAGGAATATAATAGATATAAATTGAGATATCGATTTGCTATTAAACAAGCCAAGATAAAAGCCAATGACAAGTTAATAAAAGATGCTGCCAATCCATCTAAAATGACATGGCAAATAATAAACAATCTTAGGGGTTCAAATAAAAAGAAACAGAAAATAGAAACTGGTGGAATATTGGCAGAGGAATTTAACGATTTCTTTGCAAATATTGCAAATAATGTTATTGAGAAAATACCCATATCGCAAACTGATCCAATTAATTATTTGGGAAATCCTCTCGCTCCCAGAGCTCCCTTCTCATTTTCCGAGGCCTCAGTTATTGAAATCAGAGATATCATTGACAACTTAAAAAACAAACCTAGTTCTGACATCTACGGACTCAATGTGAAACTGATCAAATCTGTGAAAAACAATATTATCCATCCTCTTACAAAACTAATTAACCAGGCATTTAGGGAAAATATTTTTCCAGATGTTCTAAAAATTGCTCAAGTTATACCTATATATAAAAGTGGTGAACTGGACTTACCCCAGAATTACCGACCTATATCTCTCCTGCCAATCATATCAAAAATACTAGAAAAATGTACTGCCATCAGAATAACAAAATTTTTCGAAGAAAATAAGTATTTTACAGAATGTCAATTTGGATTTAGGAAAAATAAGAATACAGTATTGGGAATATTGGATCTAGTATCATATATTTATGAAGCTTTTAATAATCTAGAATTTACAAGTGCCTTGTTCTGTGATCTGAGTAAGGCGTTTGATTGTGTGTCACATGAAATTCTTTTGCGCAAACTAAAAAGTTACCACTTCTCAGCAGATAGTTTTACCTTTCTCAAGTCTTACCTTACAAATAGAAAACAAACTGTGAAAGTAGATAGTGTTTCATCGGCACTTAAGGATGTCACAATCGGGGTGCCCCAAGGCTCAGTCTTGGGGCCCGTCTTGTTTCTTATATATATAAATGACTTGCCATCTATAGAGCCAGGAGCAAAATTCACACTATTTGCGGATGATACGACGGTGGCCATTTCAGCAAATACACTAGAAGAGGCTCTAAGGAGTACAGTAGATATTCAAAATAACATCCAGAGTTGGTTTTGTGCCAACAAACTTCTACTCAACACTGGAAAAACAAATAAGATTGTCTTTTCAACTAGGGACACGGGTGTGACCAACGGTGACGTGAGTAGTGTGAAATTTCTGGGGGTACAGATTGACCCACTGCTGCAATGGGGTGTGCATATTGATGGGGTGGCAAGCAAATTAAGGAGTGGCTTATTTGCTCTTCGCTCTCTAGCTGGTAATGTCTCTATTTCTTCATTGAGGACAGCTTACTTTGGAATGTTCCATTCTGTGATGTGCAGTGCGATATTGGTATGGGGGCACGTACCACAGTCAAAGAGAATATTTGCGTTGCAAAGAAAGGCTATGAGAATTATTGCAGGACTGGGGTATATGGATGACTGCCGTGAGGTATTTGGTGAGCTTGATGTGTTGACTCTGCCATGTGTATACATACTCGAATGCCTGATGTACGTTCACAAAAATAAAAATTTATATAGGACTCACGCTGAAAATCACGAAATTCAGACAAGAGGTAGGAATAGGTTAATACCAGTTCATCAACGTCTAACAAGGTGTCAAGACGGCCCTGGGTACTTGGCTGTAAAATTTTACAATAAAATTCCTATCAATATCATAAATTTAGAATTTGAAAATTTCAAGAAGGAAATAAGAGGTTTACTCAATCAACGCAGGTTTTATTCAATAGATGAATTTTTAAACTACAACTTCTGATGAGAAACGAGTTTTAACATAACTTTAAGGTACTCAGTACAGTGTCTTTAAATTATTTTGTATTAGTATATGTATATTTTATATTTTTGTAACAGTAATTGAATTATGTATTATGGCTTGACGTGTGTAAATACAATTGTATGTTAACATAAATAAATGAAATGAAATGAAATGAAATCATAGATCTGAATACGAAAAATGTGAACAACCCTCGGAACAACCTGATATCCTCTAATAGGAAATTGAAAGAGGTCAGGAGACTTCAGAGGTATTTGAAGTAATGATAGATAGAATAGGCGAGTGGAATATTTTTTTTGAATTCTTAAATAGAATCGTCACTAAAATACCTTCCACTTTCAGATTTTTTTAGAATTTTTCGGTCGATTTTTAGGTGCTAGAATCAACAAAAATACCACGGTAATTTTCAAACGGCTAGAAATTTGCTGCTAGTAAAAACTGACGCCAGGATATAGTAAGTAGGGGCAGACCATAGCACACTTGCCATGTGTTGAAATACGATTGGGAACTTCAGAAATATTATTAACAGCGTTCCGAGTTCGGCGGTTCCGATTTTCCAGTACTTATCGGGATTCTGGGATTCACTCAGTTACTAACGCGAACTTAGGCAGATCATAGATCTAAATACGAAAAATGTGAACAACCCTCGGAACAACCTGATATCCTCTAATAGGAAATTAAAAGAGATGTCAGGAGACTTCAGAGGTATTTGAAGTAATGATAGATAGAATAGGCGAGTGGACTATTTTTTTTGAATTCTTAAATAGAATCGTCACTCAAATACCTTTCACTTTCATATTTTTTTAGAATTTTTCGGTCGATTTTTAGGTGCTAGAATCAACAAAAATACCACGGTAATTTTCAAACGGCTAGAAATTCACCGCTAGTAAAAACTGACGCCAGGATATAGTAAGTAAGGGCAGACTGTAGCACACTTGCCATGTGTTGAAATACGATTGGGAACTTCAGAAATATTAGCTATATAATTCATAAATTCTCAATCAAGTATTGGTAATATTCCTATAATTAGCAATACAAATTAAATTGTCTCAAAATGTTCCCTTTTGATTTGTGACTTATTGCTTATAATAAATTTGTGTAAATAATAATTATATTAATTCACACTAGAGGACATTTGAATTGGTGAACATGACAACCCCGCACACGACTTGTGGGCGTGGTTTTGTCAGTTCTCAGCATTCAGCACAATGTTGCAGTCTCCAACATTCACATGATATTTTGTTATGGAGAATAAGAAATATTTGGACATGTTGGTTGCTTGAAAAAGTCAAGAATGAACTATGTATAATGTCATGAATTCCTCCTATTATGTTTTATTCAATGACATGACTCAAACATCTTGTCCATAACTTGATTATAATTGTTGACTTGACAACCTTCTGTCATGGAAGATTTTCTGACCAATAACCAAACAGCATAAAAACTGGTGCCACCATTTATTGGACTTATGGCCAAATGGAGGCCATGACATTACATTTGAATCAGCTCTGAAATTGAATGATTTTGAACAAGGCATAGACGTATTATTTACCTAAAAAAAGTGTGAGAAGTGTTGAAAATTAATTTAGGTTCCTTATGACACAGTGAAGTAATTGAATGCTAATAATTCATTATCATTCCACTGGCCCATTACTGTACTGAAAAATGAACTAAAATATTCTGAAAGTAACTAAAATACCTTGAAAGTATTGAAAGTATACTTAAAATGTATTTAAAATACTCAAAAAGTAATTAGAATTCTGAAAAGATAATGGAAATATTCAATAAATAATCATAAATACTGAAAATACTGAAATGGTAATTTACAATTAATTTATACAATTAAAGGATTTAGAAGAGTAATCAAGAACTTGGGTGTAACCATATTTAAGGAGTTGTTTGCCCTTTGAAAAAAAACTCATTTTGATCTAATAAGCCCTGGAATAAGCCCCTGAAATCTTCATACTGAATTTTGAAACACCATGTATATAAATCCAAATAATTCACTAAGCAGTAATGCTAGAAAGAAGTAAAGAGAGAAAAAAAAACTAATGTCAAAATTCTAGATAGGTGCTGACTGAGATGCTGATCTAATATCAAATGTTCAATAAATACATTTGCACTAGAATAGATTTTTGTTGGTTTTATTTTATGTTGAAAAGTTTGATCAGCCCACTTTAATTTTGTCACACCTGAAACTTACCTATTTTGGATAATGGACCCTCTGATTCTTCTTCTGCAGCAGTAACTGTTTTTTCCACAACCAATTCAACATTATGCAAACTTAGTAACCCTGAGTCATCCATTGCAAAATGTGCTTTTATTCCTTTTGATTCCATATTTTCCCCAGAGTTCTTCTTCAGAGCATCCCCAACACCACTCAAGACATACTCTGATAAATTAGTTGATCCCACATTAGAAACTTCCTTAAGTGGCAGGTAATCCAACTCAGCATAATTGACATTAAAACTAAAATCTGAGGAATGCTTATTGAAAGTGATTATTTTCTTCTGGGGGTACGGATTCATTAAACCAAATAATGTCCTTTTGACTTGTTTCATGCCATCTTCAGTTGCACGATTGAATGTGACTTGTATTGGAAATAGTACTGCATCTTTTGTTATGAATTTTGCCACTTTGAAACCTGTGCTCAAGTCTGCAGCTTTATAAACTGCTCCCATTGCAGCAGCTTCATCAGTGTTCAGATTTTTAGCCAAATCGCGGCCGACGGCCTTTTGCAGATATTCCTGAACTTTAGGAACCCTTGTTCCAGCTCCCACAAGTACCACCTGACTGACAACATCTATAGTCAAATGCGCAGTTTTCAGGGCTTGTTCCACAGGATTTTTAACTCTCTCAAATAAGTCTTGACACAAGTTTTCCATTTCTTCCCTTTTAATGGGAACCTTGAAATCCTGTTCATCCAAGAGATTTTCAACTTGAGCAAAATGTTCAGCATTAGCTGATAATACTGTTTTCAGTCTACCAGCTTCCTTGAAGAGCTTTGCCATTGCTCTGGTGTTTGTAAATATATCTGTTTTAGTTTTTTTCATTTCATTAAATTTGGTGGCCAAGTAATTCCTGAGACGTATTTGCATTTCCAAACCACCAAGAGTACGATCATAGCCTACACCTAGAACACTAGCTTGTGGCAGGGTTTCTACATATCCTTTTTCCTTGGTTTTTATTGTTTGATAGCTGACAAGCATAGCAGTGGTGGATGAGGCTCCCATGTCATAAAATATCACATACTGTGCAGTTTCATTGAATGTTTTGGATCTGAATATTCCATAATTTATAGCAACAGCTGTGTAATCATTTATTAATTGCAATACTTTCAACCCTGCTAGCTCAGCAGCTTGTAAAAGTGCCCTTCTTTCAACTTGGTTGAAATATCCTGGAACTGTCAGAACACATTCTTTTATTGGTTGATGAGCACCATTCTCAGCAAATTCTCTTGCTTTGACTAACATTTGGGCAATCAACTCCTCAGGACTGTAAGAAATTTCCTCATCTACTTTGAAAAGAATTGTGCCTCTCTCTGAATCTTCAATGATATCATAATATGGAAACCTTTCCTGATACTGTTTCACTAAAGGGTGATCAATTCTTTTCCCTAGCAAATCTAACAAATAACCGAAAGCCTGTTTGGGAAATCTCACCCCAATATTCATAGCATCTTCACCAAAGAGCCTTGTATTGTCTCTAAAGCTTAGCACTGCAGGAGTTTTTCTTTTGGATTCTTTATTAAGGGCTATTTCCATAGGAACTCCTGGGGATACTATTCCAACTTTCATCCATTCTGAACCCAAATCTACGGACATTACTGCTAAACTGCTTACTTCCGAGACCATAACATGATATGTGAGCCAGATGACTAGGAAATGTACTACTCTGTTAACCATGTTTCTGAGAAAAAAATAATAATATGTGAGATTAATAGGAAACATGAGTGAACATTTCAAAAAATACCTCAAATAATTTTCCTATAAGTGTTGTTTCCTCTCTATGTTACTTAAATCATTTAAACCACGTCAGTATAGGTCGCGTGCACGAAGACCGACCCTGGAGGCAAAATATTGAAACACAACCTCATTCTTCTGTGAATTATTGAAACACAACCTCACTTTTTTATTTGGTTACAGAGGAATCAAATGGTTGAAATAGTTTTTCACAATATTTCGGCATACGAATCGTGTTTCTTGCGTTATTCATTAATTCAAGCATGCCTTCGCATTGTGCTATTGTACCATGCACAAAAAATGCAGCAAGAGATTAGGGAATATGATTTTTCAGGTAAATAGTAATCTCACATAGTTAGCATTATGAAATGTTGTCATTCCTTATTGAAATTCTTTATGCCTTCTGCTACTTCTGCAATACAAGCTAATGCTGCTAATAGATTGAAAATGTCTACAACACACACGATCGTCAGCATGTCAGACCAGCTCTGTACCGATTGATTGCATGAATCCAATCTTCTTGCATTATTCTAGAAATTTCAGGTATATTTCTTTTAGCTGATCTTATTGCAGAAGGAATTCCGATGAGAAATCAGAGAAATAACCAAATTTCAAAAATGAAAACTATGTGAGTGACTATAGTAGGTACTTACTTTTGAATCATAATGTACCATCTGGATTTCTTCATCTTCCACTGCAGTTTTTGTGCATTTTACAACAGCACAATGTGATGGCATTAGCGAATTGATGAATTGCGGAAAAATACGATTCATAATTATGCCAAAATAATTGTGGAAAACTATTTCGATCACTTGTAAACAAATATGTTTTGCCTCCAGGGTCGGTCATCTGACAGTTCTTGCACGCGACCTATTCCACTTTTCTTGCGGTAGCCTAAAAATTCAGACGTGTCTTTCAATTTTCACTCCACATTACAAAAACACAGAACATCATTCACTGACACAGAACATTTCATAATGACACAGGAGCAGTTTACAAGCACAGAACGTGAACGAAATTATCTGACACAAACAATCAAAGAATAATAATAGTTGCATTTTATTTGAGATGTTTATTTTAAGGCTATATTCCGAATTCAACTGACAGTACTGAATCTGCTGAATTTTCAATCCGAAATCAAAAAAATTGACTGAAAGTGACAGATACTCGTGAGCAGATATACTATTCATTCCAAATATTTCGACTCAACATTCTGCTGAAATTGCTGAGTATCAGAAGGGCTATATTCCGAATTCAACTGGTCAGTACTGTCAGTAGATCCACTGAATCTGCTGAAAATCTGTGTTCCGAAATATAAAATCAAAAATACAGTGCTGTAATTCGGGACACGTTTTCATGGTTTTCATCAGTAGTCAGCAGCAGTTGATCAGCTGGTGAAATTTGTCAGTCTGTAGTTTCTCGTTTATCTGGACTAGATATTTAATATTCAACATGAAAGAGCAATCGATTCTTGTAGCCTCCATAGTTTCTACGATTATTGACTATGACGATTCAAGCTCGAGTGATGAAGAGAATACTTGGACATTTTGTTGCCATTTATTTTTCATGATGCACCAGATTGAGAATTGAAAGATTCATGGAAAACGTAATGATGATGAATTTAGGAGCTCTCCCAGGTTTATTTAGAAATTTATTCAGCCAATGCTGTTTCTTGTTTCGATACCTCTACTACTTCATACTCCAGCTATTTTCTGATATTGAAAATAATATCATTAACAACGGAAATAAATGTTGAGGGCGCCGTACATTATGCTATTTTTCGGCAAGTTTGAGGCAATGCAATTTTCTCGCAATTTTCTCAATTTATTGCAAGTCACTGTACATTGAGATATTTCTGTCATATTTTCTTGTTTATATTCACTATTTTCCGGTTTTTTGAGCCTTCAATGTACTTTTTGAGGTAATTTGGTGTTGCAGGCCACGTTATGGAGAATTTTTGTATTTTATCAGGATGCTCTACGATGAATATTACTAAAAATTTTAATAAACTTGCCTTGAAATTGCAGGAAAAATAGGACTGGTTCTATTACGAAACTTGCATGAAACTTGCCGTGAAATATCATAGACGCATACCCATTGTTCGATTAAAAATTGCATTGCATCGAACTTGCTGGTAAATAGCATAACGTACGGCGCCCTTTACATTCCATCCCCCTCTGAAATAATGACAGTTCACTGAAGCCACACTACCTTTTGATACTCAGCAATTTCAGCAGAATGTTGAGTCGAAATATTTGGAATGGATAGTATGTCTGCTCACGAGCATCTGTCACTTTCAGTGAATTTTTTGATTACGGAATGAAAAATCAGCAGATTCAGTGCTGTCAGTTAAATTCGGAATATAGCCACAGGGAAAAGGAATGACACATTCATTTCCGTTGTTTTTCAAACATTAAGTCTCGGCTTATCAATAATACATTAATAATATCATTTTGATATCAGAAAATGCCTGTTATTCATTTAGCTCAAGCCAATGAACTGTATGTAAACAACGTTCATTGGCTCAAGCAGGAGCATCTGCCAGATCAATGACAACTGACAAATTTCACCAGCTGATCAACTGCTGCTGAATACTGATGAAAACGTGTTCCGAATTACAGCACTGTATTTTTGATTTTATATTTCGGAACACAGCTTTTCAGCAGAGTCAGTGGATCCGCTGACAGTACTGACCAGCTGAATTCGGAATATAGCCTTTATTTGTTCCATGGTAGCGGTGGTGGGAACAGAATGAAATTCACAAATAAAACGAGAAACTTCATGACCTTGCATAAGAGAATGGACCTCCGAATAATTTCATAATCATAATACTAGAATAAAAATCTAGAAAATGAATCAAAGCATATTTGGAGCAGTGATTGGAGCGGATTGGAGAAACTTCTCTGAGATCAAGAGAATGCCGAGGAGAATCAATTTCATCTGGGAGTGAAAATATGGAACCTGTCTCACTTGAAAGAATCATAAACTTGTGAACCTCACGATAAAAATGTCTTCTCTAAATGTTTTCAACTCTCAAAAAGTTTTGTTTTTCGTGAAAATGATTACTTTTTCGACAACTGTCAACAGTCATTCCTCGTCATTCCTTGTAGCAACCGGAATCGGAAAAGTTGCGCTTAAAACGACATTCTGGTGACGGAATCGTACAAATAAAACGCAACTAATATGTATACGTCAATGAAACCCGATGCCAAGATTGATGAACTATGCTATCCAGATTGGTTTCTACATTTAGAGTCACTGGATGATATCAAACTAATACCATCCAGTCACTCTAGTTTCTATCGCTGCTGATCAAGCTTTTTCCAATTTTTCACTCGCCGATTTATAGAGCGCACCGAGCAAGTACAAGTAGCATTGGCGCAGTTTCAGTGGAATTGATCATTCTAGAACACGTGATTTTGACATGGTTTCTTGAGGGGCACACAAACTATCCGTTATGTTACCTTTGATGAGCCTTGCCCAGGCCGTCCCTCTGCCACATCCACAATATAATAACAGTTTCACCAAACAAAATTATGAAATTCTTCCTGGTTCCAACTCGGATTCCAAGGAAAACGATCCCACTGATTCTGGTTTTCTATGACAGATCTTGACAAAATACAATGTTTGCCCCTCAGCAACCTGTCAAGTGACGTAATTCTGGAATGATCAATAGAAATCGATAGTTAGTGCGACTATTTTTCCTTGTCGTCAGGGGGCCTATTCTCGAAGGTCGAACGAAATATAATAATATGTCGTATTCAATAACATACGTGTAAGGGTGGTATCTGGTGTGAAATTAATTGAACATATATCTGTTCGTTTTCAGTAGGTAATGAATGTATCAGTTTTTCCACACATTTGAATCCATTTGCCACTATCTTAATTTTGTCCTCCGAAAAGGCATGGTAAATAATAAAGCACTCCGTTTCTGTCCTATAATTTTTGCAAGAAGAAATTGCACAACAGCGTTCACCACCTTTCCCCATGTTCTAAAATTCAAGAAATAACAAGGGTGAGTTGAGTATAATATGTGATGACTACCATACAGTTCTTATATACTTATTAGATATTCATCACAGAACTGTGAACCGTATTTCTAGCAACCACGTAACATAAAACACTTTGGTCATTTTTCCTCGACCAGACAAACCAGGTTATCTTCATGATGACGTCACGGTAACTTTATAATGACCTAACGGTTTATTTTTCATGCTTGACAGATGTCAGTTTATCAGCTGTTTTTATTTATTGTTTGGTTTTAGTAGTATTGAATAAGAAATTCATCATCTGTAACAAGAATATATCATGGATAAAAACTGGGTACTTACCAACTTCAAATTTAAGAAAATTGGAACAATTCGCTACGTACATATTGACAATAATTTACGCCGTGCACCGATGAGTTTTTGTGTAGTGAACGACATGACGTCATATTTATGAACTGTATATTGACGGATAGGATATGAACGTTGAGAGTTTTAATAATCCTTGTTCGATGCCAATGTGTTGTCATTTATTTGTTGTTATGATGGGGGTGGGATAGTCTATATGAGTTTATGAGGCAAACGCACCCATATTAATAGATGAATGAATCTTCCTCATTGGTCTTAAGTCTAAATAGGCGTTCGTAGCAAAAGTCATGGTTGTCTGAATTTTCGAGAAATGAGTTCTATGTTTCATTGAGTGACGTGATGACACGAAACACTATATTCTATTTTGACTTTGACTGCTTAATATTTATTGACATTGATCTATATTTTGAAGTTTATTATTTTATATTTTGTATTTTCTTTTAATTATAGATGTTTTTTCGAATATTCGGCTGACTTCTTCATATTCTGTTGGAATTTATTGAACAATGATGCTAAGCCATTAGGATAATTATAGGTAGAATACATTTTTCTGGAAATTCTGAAATATTCTCAGTTTTGAATTTTTTGTATCTATTGTTGTGCTGCTGGTCTGCAGTGTTTTAACAGGTGAGTTTGACAATTCATGTTATATTATTCCAATTTCATCAATATATCTACCTAGAACAAAACGTAGATGTTTAAAAATGTTCCTAAAGAAACTTAGAATTCTCCTGTATATGCACTCTTGTATATATCTTGATTTTCATGTTTTCACAATTTACTATAAAGGAAGCTGGAGCTAGATACCCTTCACACCTTCTCAGGCGTCCTCAAAGCGAATTTTACCATCTCTTATTTGGAATTTCAAGTTTGAGTGCTCTAGTCCAAGCTCAAACAGCTCAATAATAGCACATGGTTTGCAACAAGTTATTTGTTGTCAATTCAAAGGGGTACTTAATGGTAGATAAGATTACTCACCAACTTCATATCAATCCCAGAAGTTACAGAAGTCTGATGTTCAATGAATGCACTCTCATCATCTGAGGTTCCATTTATGAAAAGAGACAAAAAATATTGCTGATCTATCAGTATTCTGGAATTGCAGGAATTGCTACTGGTAGATAGATTTTGTTCTCAATTCATAAACCACACCTTGTTGTCCCATATTATGTTATGATACCTAACATAACCTAACCTAATTTTGTATTTCATTGCAAATATTTTTTTATAGTCTAAAAATATTTGAAATTCGAATATACTTCAAAATTCATGAATCTAAATCAGTACATCATCAGTAAATCTTCATAATTTTTAGAGAGAATCAAAATTTCAAGATCACATGCATGCCTGAATTTTTTTGTTAACAAATCACTACCAAAACCGTTTGTCCACAAGCCAACAATCATTTGAAAATTACGGAAAATTATTTCAAAAAACTATATATAACATCCAGAAGTTCAAAAAATCCAATATCTATCTACCCTTGTTACTAAAGAGGTTTCACGAACATAACAAAGATTCCCTTTTGTGCCTCACAAAAGATGTAAAAAGTAATTCAATTTCAATAGAAAATTGATCAGCGATTTCATAAATTGTTTATAATTATCTGCAAAATTACCATTATCAAAATGTGCTTGCACTTCCCTTTCATTTCCTTGTAATGCTTTGACATCCCTTGAAATTTCTCAAAATTCTATGGAATGCCTTCATTTCCCACAAAATACATGAAAAATATCTCTTCCTTGGAATGCCTCCATTTTCCCACAAAGTGCACCAAAAATTCCTTTGTGAAAGTTTCCCTAAATTCACAGAAACTCCTGTTTTCAGGCAGAAATATGGGCGCGGTACCAAATTTTATTCATTAATATCTTGGAACAATGAAAATAATTTCGAAAATAATCAACTCTGAAATCTTTCAAGCCATAATTTTGTTTTGGTTCCATTAAATTCAAGATTTAACTCACAAGCATTCTAGTTATCCTGGATATTTTTCCATGCTACTAACTTTCAATCACTAATTATTCACAAAAATATTATTTTCTTCAGAAAATAATAATCTCTTCAAATTTCTGTTATGTTTGATGGAAAGTTGATGTATCGTCTATCATTCAGGAGCGAATTTTTATTTAAATCGACTTTTTCAGTACTAAAATGATGCAAAAGTCATCTATCAAAATATCATCTAACTACTTTACATATCTAACCAAAGTTTAGAACAGATTTTTCGTAGTTAACAATTAGAAGAAATCAAAAAATATGGAGAACTGAAGGTTGCAATAGAATTGGAATAGAAACAACTTTTCTTTGTAAACTTTTCCAAAATTCTAATAAATAAGTAAATTTCTATAAATTAATTAGGAAAAATTTTAAAGTCACGTGGCATCGACCAAAACTTAATGCCCGAGTTGAATTCCAAAATAAATTATTCTTGAAAGTTTTTCTCATATGATGCCAAATTTATGAATGACACTATACAGGTTGATTCACGGTGGATGGCACATAGACGTTTCTGGAGAACGCAACTCAGGATTATTCTGAAAAGTTGGTGCCCTGGATAATCAGTTGTGTTCTATGGTCCTAAAATATTCTCAGCGTTGCGAAGTTGCCGCTTATATTGAAAAGTAGCAACAACTTTGATTTTTCAACTGGGACTCCCTGTATATTATTACATTTTCAGGTTCTCCCTAAAGAGCTGATTTCATTGACCAATAACACTTGGGGTCTTGCAGTAATAATTACAGAGTTATAGGATGTGAAAAATCGAGATTTTTCAACTTCAGGATTTTTTTGTGTCCAAACTATTCATAATTGGTCAAAACGGTTCTCATGGCCTCATCTTAACTTTTCATGTAATATCAATTGAAATAGATACAGGGTGGTCAAAAATCTCAATTCTGAACCACCCTGTAATTATTTCAATTAAATTTCAATTGATAGTGAATAAAACGTTGTGATAGGGACATGAAAACCGTTTGGACCAATTATGGATAGTTTCGACACAAAAAATTCCTAAAGTTGAAAAATCTCGATTTTTCACATCCTATAACTCTGTAATTATTACTGCAAGACCCCAAGTGTTATAGGTCAATGAAATCAGCTCTTCAGGAAGAATCTGAAAATGTAATAATATATAGGTTGTCCCATTTGATCAAGGTTGTTGTTGTTACTTTTCAATATAAGTGGCAACGTCGCAACGCTGAGAATATTTCAGGTCGATAGAACACAACTAATTATCCAAGGCATCAACTTTTCAGAAGTAACCTGAGTTGCTACTCCAGAAACGTCTCAAAGAAATCAATAATATGAATATCTACAAACGAACTTTGAAAGATTATCTAACTGCGAATCCATTTTATTCATTGGACGAATATTTCAATCAATAAACTTTTGTAGTGTAGGTATCTTTTGCTTGTAAAATTCTACCTATATTCATGTGTGTATAAGTATTATGTTATGAATGTACCTATGTATATATCTGAATCTGACGTTGCTAATGTTTTTGTAAAAAAAACCAATGGCAATAAATTTATTATTATTATTATTATTATATGTCATCCACCGTGAATCAGCCAGTATATGTCTGTTTCCTCATTTCATCTGGTATTCAAACTAGTTAATTATTTCGTGAATAATATAAACCATACTTTTCAACTAATCATAAAATTAGAACAACAAATAAAAGTATTTAGCCAATATCACAATAGAGTGTCAGCAAATACAGAATTTTTGAATATTACCCAAACATACAATAAGTTAGTGGAAACGGTAACGTCACAGTGGCTTTAGCAAAATCACGTTTTAGCTCTGTGTGAACATGTCTGAAGTAAAATATGCTGCTATGGTGAGAACAAGAGAGAGAATAAAAATATGTATACATACTATAACGGCTTTTCACAAACTTTACTGGGAAATAAAAATGTGAATAAAAAAAATGTCCTTATTATAAAAAATTTGTTCTAAAATTTGTTCTATCCGTCATTCGGTTGCCCCCTTACGAGCAACCCTCAAAAGTCTTCGAAAGTCTTGTGCGAACAAGGAATGACGGGGGCCTTACCTTTTAACGTGTGATCCCAAACACTTTCTTGGGCCATCAGAAAAATTTCTGCAGTCGACGGGGATCGAACCCACGACCGGCAAGCGAATGCGAATTAGAATATAGACACTCTGTCCGCACGGCTACCTGGCCACCCCATAATTGATACAATTTTCTGCTAAAATGCATCATTAATTATGATAATGATTCAGGTGTTTAAATAGTTGGGATCGTTAAAATTGGTTTTGCTAGTAGCCACATCTGTTTTTCAGGAAATTATTTGACTGACATGGCTCTTCCAGTGAATTACAAACAGGTTGCTGTTCCTATTCCAAGTCCTCAATCATCGAACCGTAAGATAACTACTGATCACATCAAAGCATACTATTTCACTAGATATATATATACGAAATTTACAGTAGTATTGATTTGTAATGTAAAATCTATTTAGTGTTAGGTATAGAATGCTTAGAATCGCATGTGTATAGTTTTTCGATGAACTTTTACCTTCGTTGCCGTCAATTCCATCTGAAATTTATTTTTGATTTGTTAAGGGGCATAATACTCAACATAATTATCGCATATAAATTGTTCAACGCTCAAAATGATGCATTGCATAATTTCTTTCATTCTCAAGATCAGGTACTGAGTTTTAAATCCTAAAAATGTTTCATCAAACAAATCAATCAATCTGATACGTTCTTCTCGAAATGTATTACATTTTCCACGATGGGGAAGTTTCTTTCAGATGAATTTTCATAAAATAAGTTCGGAACTCTTCAGTTTTATGTCCACGCTGTACAGAATGGCGACCGATAAAGTCCAAGTCGTTTTCATTTTCAAATTAAAGCAATTTCTAATTTTCGGTGCGGCAAACTGTGACGTACATTCTGAATCTAGTCTGAAAGTAGGTGATGGTGAAGAATATAACTATCGAAAGGCTAACGAATGAAAAACGATTGAAAAAAATAGATGAAGAAGTGAAACAGGTAAACAAAAACATACATAACCACAAATCCACTCGGAGCAAGAATGCAGAAGATAGTTGGCTTCATTCTGACAGGTTATGGTTTTGTTATTTATGCATTTAAATATCTCGAATTGTGCTCAATCCTGAACGAAAATATCACTGAATAAATGAATCGCTATCGGCTACATTCAATAATACTATCCTTCCTAATTTACTGCCATCGATTAGAGAACAGAATGAAGCCGACACCCATGGCTCCTTCCTCTTGTGCCTGTCAGTATTTTGAGTGGTGTGGACGGACTCGAAGTATTAGGCGCTGTTTCAAGATATAATATGCAAATTTCCTAGAAAATTGATCCGTTTTATGAAGGAACGAATCCATTAGCAAAAAAATGACTGACAAGATATGAATAACATATTTTAATATAACGATAGTGAAAAATTATAGATCGCAAAATATCATAATTTATATTTATTAATAATCAACTTCATTCAGCCAATGAGAGATTTATGGGAATTATTCATAATACTTGACAAAGTAGGATTGAAGAACTTATTATATTCCATTGCTGTTATGATATAGTTATTATGCATTCAGGGAACAATTTACGGAAATCTAGACATATTGATGATGTCGGCAACGTCGTACTGGCACAGGGAATCGTATTTTACTCTCTCTGTGTGAATGTGGCTTTTCAGAAAGTACGTCATAGGAATGGTGGAGGAGCCAAGTTCCTCTTTTATACAGGGTTGGCTTTATGTATGGAACAATGTCGCTAGAAGGAAAACGGCTTGAGATATTATTTTGAAAATTTGTAGGGATGAATTGGGCAAACTTTCGCAGATTTAGACAGAAAAAAAAATTTTTTTCTGTTATAGTTTCTTGACACGTCCGCCATCTTGATTTTTTTTAAATGGCAACATGGGTCGTGTGACACATCGTTAGAAAGCTTATTTTTTTCTCTTTTCAATTGTCATCATATTCATTGGTTTTGATCATCGAATACTTGAAAAATATCAAGAAAATAAATGCATAAGTGAATATTATCTCTGTTGTGATTTTAATGAAATTAATGTTAAGTAGTTACTCACAAGTCGAAATTAACAAAAATTTAAATTATCTGATGAATTGTTCAAAATGTTGCCCGTTAACTTCTAGGCAATAACGTATACGATTTTCAAAACTTTGTACGGCGTTTTGTAACCAGTGAGCCGGAATGGAAGCAATCTCATCACTGATTCGAACTTTCAGATCGTCAACATTTTCAGGTCTATTTTCGTATACACTTTTGCAATGCCCCCATAAGAAAAAGTCCAGGGGGGATAAGTCAGGTGATCGTGCTGGCCATTCGATATTTCCTCGTCTACCAATCCAACGCCCAGGAAAAATCTGATTCAGGTAATTCCGAACTGCAATTGCGTAGTGCGGACTTGCACCATCCTGCTGGAACCAGATATGCTCATTTATTGTGCCAGGGTGATTGGCATTAGGAAAAAGCTCCAGCAGTCTTGGAACAATTCTTTGCCTTAACAGTTCTAGGTATCGTTCACCAGTAAGATTTCCCTCGATAAAAAATGGACCAATAATTTGGTGACCTATCATGCCACACCAGACCATAACTTTTTGTGGATACTGTGTGTGTACCTCTTCTATCCAATTTGGATTGGTATCTGAATAATAGCGAGAATTGTGTCGATTAACTTGTCCATTTAACATAAATGTAGCTTCATCGGAAAAAACAACGTTATTCACAAAATGTTCATAAGTTACGGCTTCCAGCATTCGCTCGCAAAATTCGGTGCGCCTATCAAAGTCATCTTCAGTTAACTCTTGCACTAAATGTACTTTGTATGGATGATATTTATGTTTCTTGAGTATTTTTCTAACAGAATATCGAGACATGTTATGATTAAGGGCAAGCTGTGAAGTAGATGTTCTTGGTTGATCCACTACATCAAGCACTATTGACAGAGAATTTTCGTCATTTGTTACGTTTCTTCTTCGACCTGTTTTACGACGGTCATTAACGTTTCCAATTTGTGAAAATCTCCCTAAAGTTTTTGTCACTGATTAAATAAATGGCATACCTCTTCCCGTGTGCGTCTTCGGTCGCCGTAACCAATCATCATTAAAATTCCTATTCTTTCGGTTTCTGCAAGACGATTCATTGTTACAATAATAATGTTCTTGAGTGAATAACACACTGACACTTGCACTGACATCTAATTCTGAGAAGTTTGTTATTATTTTCACACCTGTCAAAGCGCATAGACCTCTAGATTTTGAAATCACAACAGAGATAATATTCACTTATGCATTTATTTTTCTTGATATTTTTCAAGTATTCGTTGATCAAATTCGATAAATATTATGACAATTGAAAAGAGAAAAAAAATAAGCTTTCTAACGATGTGTCACACGACCCATGTTGCCATTTAAAAAAAATCAAGATGGCGGACGTGTCAAGAAACTATAACAGAAAAATAAATTTTCTGCGAATCTGCGAAAGTTTGCCCAATTCATCCCTACACATTTTCAAAATAATATCTCAAGCCGTTTTCCTTCTAGCGACATTGTTCCATACATAAAGCCAACCCTGTATATTTTTTTCTGAAGTAAAATTTGATCTTACGAAAAAAAGGAAGAATTCGTATACAGGGTGAGTCAATAGTGTGTCCTCCTTCAATATTAGCAAAACCGTCAGATATATAGAAAAAATTCGAATACAACAGTCATAAGGTTTCATGAACACTATCACCTCCAATTATTTTCATGTCTATAGGGTGTGTTCGAATTCCAATATATCGCCAGATGATGGATTTCTCAAATGGGATACCCTATATATTATTGCATCCCTAGGTTCTCCCTGAAGAGCTTATTTCACCAATGCATCACACTTGGGATCTAGCAGAAATGATTACAGAGATATAGGGTGTTCTAAATCGAGATTTTTCAATTTTAGAATTTTTTTGTGTCGAAACTATCCATTATTAATCAAAACGGCTTTCATGTCCCTATGATAACTTTCGATCTACTATCTACAGACATTTAATTGGAACAAATACAAGGTGGTTCAAGCTTCAAGAATTCCGATCACCCTGTATCTCTCCCAATTAAATGTCAGTAGATAGTAAACAAAAAGTTGAGATAGGGACATGTGAGCCGTTTAGACCAATAATGAATAGTTTCGACACAAGAAAATCCTAAAGGTGAAAAATCTCAATTTTGAACATACTATATCTCTGTAATCATTTCCGCTAGACCCTAAGTGTGACACATTGGTGAAATCAGCTCTTCAGGGAGAACCTAAAAATGCAATAATATACAGGGTGGGCCACCAGTAACGCCTCGGTCTCTAGAAGGCTAACCACTCATCTTCTTGGAATTCTTCCTCTCTAGGAAGTTGCATGTCAACATAGGCTACCATTTGAAATTATTTTGAAACATACAGGATGTCCCCAAAAATCACAAAACACTGAAGTTGAACTTTTTTCAATCGAACACCCTATATATTATTTCATTTTGAGATTCTCCCTGATGAGCTGATTTCAACGACCCATCATACTTGGGGTCTAGCAGTTATAATTACTGAAATATAGGGTGTGAAAAATCGAGATTTTCCAAGTTCAAGAATTTTTTGTGTCGAAACTATTCATAATTGGCCAAAACGGCTTACATGTCCCTATCTCAACTTTTCATCAACTATCTACTGACATTTAATTGAAACAAATACAGGGTGGTGCAGAATTCAGAATCTTGATCACCCGGTATATGTCCCAATTAAATATCAGTAGATAGTTAATCAAAAGTTGAGATAGGGACATGTAAGCCGTTTTGATCGATAATGAATAGTTTCGACACAAAACATTCCTGAAATTGAAAATCTCGATTTTTCACACCCTATATCTCTGTAATTATAACTGCTAGACCCCAAGTATGGTGGGTCGTTGAAATTAGCTCATCAGGGAGAATCTCAAAATGAAATAATATAAGGGTGTTCGATAGAAAAAATTTTAACTTCAGTGTTTTATGGTTTTTGGGGATTTGTAGCCTATGTTGACATGCAACTTCCTAGAGAGGAAGAATTCCAAGAAGATAAGTGGTTAGCCTTCTAGAGACCGAGTATAGGAAGTCCCTTTCAAAAACAGCATCATCAGCCGATATCTTGGAATTTACACACCTTATATAGATATGAAAATGATTTAAGGTGATAGTTCTCATGAAATCGTATAACTGTTCTTTTTGCATTTTTTCTATACAGGGTGTTACATAATTCAATACAAATATTTCAATGACATATTCCTGGGGTCAAAATAAGACTTTTTTTCCTATAAACATGTGTCCTAAAATCCACCCCCTCCAAGCTACAGACATCGCAAGATGCGCAAAAAAAATCTTAAATTTTGAATTGTGGCTACAATTATGATCAAATATTCTGAAAATTCACAGGCACTTGTATTTTTAGACGATCTATTCATTTCTTGATTCAAAAATAAGGTAACTCGAATCGAAAGGGGTGAATGAGGGTTGCATACAGATTTGATGGCAAACATTTTCTATTTCCTCCAAAAAAAATTTAATTCAAACATCATCGTTGAATTGGTCACTAAAAAATCATACATTTCAGTCTCTTGCATTTTCTTGAATTAGCTAACCGTTTTAGAGAAAATCGCTAGTAAATGAAAGGGGTGTATTTTCAAATTATTGTACTAAAAAAACTTAGTGGGCTATGATTATGTTTGTCTCTGGTAACTAATGATTAATTAATATCTTTTATGCCAAACTGACATTGTGGTATGTCATAACCGTCATGTCACAATCGATTCACTTTCCTCAACTTACCATTACACGCTCAGAAAACGGTTCAATTACTACAAATCTTGCGATGTCTGTAGCTTGGAGGGGGTGGATTTCAGGACACATGTTTATAGGAAAAAAAAGTCTTATTTTGACCCCAGGAATATGTCATTAAAATATTTGTATTGAATTATGTAACACCCTGTATATCTGACGGTTTAGCCAATATCGAAGGAGAACGCACTATTGACTCATCCTGTATATTGAGTTTTTACAAACTTCACAGTGAGATAAAGACCTCAATATAGGAAACTTCCGCATTGCTTCAAATAACTAGTCAAGACAATTCATCACAGATAAATTTTCTGTGTTGCTGAGCAATACTTCAGGTTTCCGATTTTTTTGTAGCCCTGTATCTTTGGAGATTTCAAAAAATATACTATATATATATAGACTTGGCTATAGGTTCTGTAGAATATTTTCATGCCTATTTATTCATTTACAAGCGACTATAATGAGGAAATATAATTTAAAATTTGATAGATATGATTTTCTTCGGATTCAAGTATATGTAAAACGAAATTTCGTATGTTTTAATTCGAGCGTTGAACACTTTAGTAGAATTAGTATACTAGATTTTTCCAAGCTGATCTTAAACAAAATCGTTTTGTTGAGGTTGTTTGGTCATTGATTGCAGTTTCAAGGCATCTAATAATCATCAGAAGTGCTGTAGGTTTTGGAAACTTCTAGCGATTTTGTAGATTAGAGCTCATTGCTTCGTTTGTGTTTGTTGTTCAGATTTGCTGTCAGCAGCCGCTCCAATGACTTTCAACATATTGAAAGGTAACTGCCAATTTCCTTAATATTAACCCTAACATAAAATTATGTAATCAGTATAAACCTGATATTTTTCCAAAATGTTTTGAAGTGCAATAATTCTGAACTCTTCTTGTTTAAAAAATAACGCCAATCCCTCCAGTTTCCCTATCAGGAAGGTCATTTTTCAATTTATATCTCATGGTGAATGAAATGAATATGATGTATTGATTATAAGTATGCTATGAATATTTTTGATTTTCAAATATTTAGTATAATTGAATGATTTTGAGATAAGAAATATACTTACAAATAAGGCTTTACCAGGAACATGTCATATTATGAAATACATAAAAATGTGTTTCAATGCGGATCATTTTTCAATGAGCACACTGCATATACATATATAATATTCAGACAGATTTAAGGTGGATAGACTTTTATTTTGTTCAATAAATATTCAAACCAAGTTATAGTTTTACATTTAAAAAAAATCTAATGAATTTCAGTTGCCTTCTTATGTTATGAATACTCATTTGAAGAAGGTTATTAAAAAATTATATAATTTCTTGAAATTCACTTTTATTTTTGAGATTACTCAAGGTGGTTCCAGTTTGACTCACATAAATATATTCTGCTTTGAGAGAGTAAACATTTTAGTCCCACATTATTTTACGGCTGATTTTTTTTATAGTGAATAATTCAGAATTATTTGATTTTATTTATATATTATTAGCATTGCTACACATCTAAGAAGAAACTAAAGGTCTCTAAAAATTACAAAAGTTTTGAAAGCCAACCATTAATTTATGCAAAATTATTGATATATCAATTGGAAAAAATATACAGGGTGCTATTTGAGTGAGAAGTGGTATGTTGAGTGATTTCAAAACAAAAAGTTCATTGAACATTGCTTCGGAAGTGCACCGTTCTCAAGATACAGGGTGTCAAAAGAATTTCAAAAATCCGTTTTCCGTAAATATCGTGAAAATCTTTGATACAACTCTGTTTAAATTTGTAATAGTAAGATGATTATTAGATTTATGATTAATCGAGATATCAAAAACCGTCAAATACAGTTGACACCCCCTGTATTCCCGGAGGTATTTTTCTGAGAACTTTTCATCTTAGAATCACCCAAACTCACTTTTTGAAATTTAGTCACATACTTGAATAACATCTTGTATATTGTTGAAAGTGTACTTATAATGATAATGATGATAATGATCACTTTTTTGAAAATCCACGGTAAGACATTTATTAATTTTCAATGTAAAATTGTTTTAATAGTTGGGGTAAGTGGAAATCCTAACTACATATTCCATAGTTGTGCATGATTGAATGAGTAGATAATTTGTTTAATAATGTGATGAATTTCGCTAGTGTCATTCGCATTGCTGGTTGATTTTTAAATGCTGACCTATAGGGCAATGGTTAGAAAGCTATATCGCTGTGTAAGCAATAGTGGTTTATTTATAAAAATTCGCAATGTTTACTGTATTTAGACTACTAAATGATTTGAAATATGAAACTAATTTCCATCGTTTTGTTAACAGGAATACATTTCTTGTACAATTCATAGATACCCCACCTTATTTTTCATTTGATAGCAATATTTTGGAGATTTGTTACCAGGACTGATTAATTGATTTGAACTAATGAAAGATTTTTTGTAGAACGATTGCGAGCTTCTGGAGGATCTGGTTCTAGTTCTAATGTAAGGATATCATTTTTGATTAATTTCATTATAATCATATTTAACATTATTGATTTCAGAAAGAAACTAATCCATTTATATCAACTCCAAATGGTCATTCTGGATTTATACCCCAAAAGATTGGAAAAAATGCCACAGTAAGTAATTTTATAAACAATAAAAACACAAGAGTTTTTTTATTGGAAAAAGTCCAGCAATTTTGTCTAATGTCAGTTTTTCGAGTGAATTTCTTGAGCTGATGAGAAATTTTATCCAATGAAAAAATTTGGAAAGATAAATCAACGACAATATACAGGGTGAGTCAGTTTTTTGTAGCAGGACTTCAACAGATTGAAGAAGATATTAAGATAAAAAGCTCATGCAAACATATATCCATAGAATCCCCATTTCCAATATACAGGGGATGTGATATTTTTATATTTTTTTTGGTGTTTTCCAAGTATTGCCATTGGATTTCATTATCACATTTTATGGAAGCCTTTGGTCATTCTAGGTCTTCTAGTCAATTATTGAGAAATGTCAAATAGAGTGTGTTCAAAAAATTGAGTTTCATCACAAGTAAATTATTTTTTGTATTTATTATCTCAAAATCCATACAGCTTTCTAAAAACATTTGATAGAGCGAAAAGTATCCCAATGGAAGAGGGAGCAAAAAATTTTGAGAGGTTTAAATTTGGTACAACCCCCAAAAGTTTATCGCCCTATAGTTAATCAAAATCGCCTAAAAGCCCCAAATAATGAGCATTTCAAGTATAATAGTTATATCAAATGTCAATTCATTATCTTGAAAATTGTCGGAGAAAACTTATGAAACATTGAAAAAATCTCAAAATTTGACTCCCTTTATATCGGAAACGAAGCTCCCATATTTTTTATATTCCCCCAAAACGACTCATCTTACGAATTTTCGTGTTAACAATTCCCAATCACACTTGAAACGACAATCAAGTATGCTTTCGAGGAACAGACATTTTTACAGCGATAAAAGAGAGTGCACCATTTTCAACATTTCTATTTGATTTATCAACTGATAAACATTGTGTTGAGTGTGTTATAAGAACAAGGAGTTGTGGGTGGGATTTCATGGTAAGACACAAAAAATGATGGTTCCAACTTCTCTATATGACTTCTTTCCTGTGGGATTACATTCGAATCGGGACACTCCGACCTCCAAGAATTGTTTCACGTTTCCCCATCGTGTTTAAAGTCGCTTCTCAAGGTGGTTGAAATCATTCATGAACATCATAAATGACCAACCCCGTCGTCCCTCTACATTATGAACATGCCTGTCTCTGTCTTTCTCTCTCTGAATATATGGCCTCTTGTCTTACAACATACAGAACCCTTATTACGGAGAATCCGTTCCCATCCGGCCCGGATACCGGCGTAAATAATAAGGGTTTTGTTTTTGAGCACCCTTGGGTGTCTCATTCGAATTAATACCAGGTATTGTGCTCTTTTTGCGTTTCGAACAATCACAAAAACTTTAACCTGACTTGACCTGACGCCGCCTGTCTTCCACCGCGGTCGGAAGTCGAATCCTAGTTCCTCTCATGATGTGAGTTATACAGAGGGTGCCATCTTCTTCTTCCTATTTCTTTATCGTCGGCCTCTTTCTGCTACTGAGACTAATCACCGACGCCGGTACCGGAAATTTTGCCGAATCCTCTGGTGTTCCAACCAGAGGTAGGGATCTTCAACGAGTCCAACATTCATGGCCCCGGGACCGCCAGCATCACGTCCCTTCCGAAGGACGGCATATCCGTAGCATATCTTGTGCTCATTGATATGGTAGCTGTAGCTATGATATGCTATTTCGCTACAGATGTACGGGCTTACGCGCAGGGGCGTTTTTAGGGTTACAGGCGCCTGAGGCTAAAAATTAATCGGCGCCTGTAACTAGTGAAATTTTTGTCCCATAAAATAGTTGTGTTCAATCCTTGTTCGAAAATCTGTCAGTTTGGATAAAAAAAAGGCATGAAAGATTACTAGGTTAATACAAGCAAATGGCGAATGCAATGGTAGGTATGTCTTATTAATACTTATAAATAGAAACGCAGAAAAAATATGTTCATACGTAATATAATACAGAATGAGTATCAAAAACATATAATAACATATAAATAACATATAAACAGGTACATACAGAACAGAATAAAAATAACAAAATAAATTAACAAATTCTTTGGTTAGTAGCATTTTGGCTAGTTGATAATTGAACTCAAAATATTTTTTTTTATTTATACTAGCATCACACTCCTCCATTAAAACAGAAACATAAAACATATTCTGAAAGAATAACAAAACAATAAAAAACAACATAAAATGATAGACTAGAGTGAAAATGAACGAAAATGAACGAAACAGATTCATTGGTAAATACAGGTACATGCAAAACAGAAAAAAATTAAGGAAATCAAATAAATTCTTTGGTTAGTGTTAGTAGCACTGGATAGGTCGATAGGTGTTCATTGAATTCAAAATGGCATTTTTCTCGACTTACTCGCAGCAAACTGCACAATTATTTGTGAAAATTCGATTTTATCTAAAATCTCTGACTCAATTGAGAACAGACAGAGATTGCTATTTTTGGAATCTTCTAATGAACTCCTCAAATAATTTTTCACCCTATTTTCGGTTGAAAACGACCTTTCGCCTGAACAGTTTGTTGCAGGAATACATAAAAAAGTTCTCAAAGCCACATCAATGTTTGGAAAAGTTGATGTGATTTTTTGTTCTCTTATGAACCTGAGTGATTGCTCAGTAAACGAACACGACTGAATAACTGTTGGGTGTCCATCAAAATTGATGTCTTCCATAAAACGTTTAAACCTTATACATTCGTTCGGAAAATCCTCGCTTAGGTCACTATTATAAGTTTCTTGCAAATTTCTTGCACTGTTTATCAAATCACTGTCTGACAATTTCAAAATATTTTCAAGGAAGCCAAACTGATTCTCAATAACTGAATATGCACTCATGCGTTTCATGAGTTCAGTGATAATATTTCGTTTCCAGCGCTGCCAATTTTTGGCTTTTTCCTAGGATCTGCTGGCGCCCCTAAAATCTGCGGCGCCTGAGGCTTTAGCCTCATTAGCCTTATGGATAAAACGCCCCTGCTTACGCGGCGTTTCCTCGAATGGTCACCCATCCAAGTACTAACCGCGCTCAACACTGCTTCACATCTATATATCGAACGGCTAGTGCCTTACCTAGAAGCTATGGCGATGCCCAAAGAGAGTTTTTCATTCCAACAATGAGTCATTCGCATGAATGGAAGAAACCATTGAACTGTTGCAAAATTCCGCTGAAATGTTGATGGAAATCTATAAAACTGTTGTTATAAAATGACGAGAGTTTTCGACCCATTCCTTTTCCTCATCGTCAGATTGGTCACAGTGAATCACGTGATACATTAAGGACGCATGCGCATTCGCTCGTAGAAAAACTTAGAATTATTAACGAGCCCCTCGGGGTTTCGGGAGGAAGGAAAAACATTCTTGAAAGTCTAAATCACTATACAGATGATCACAGTGGGCTGACGCCATGCTATTAGTGGACCAGAATAAAACTGAACAAACTCAGACTCCACAATTTCATTGCGGAAAATAGGCATAAAAAACACGAATCTCAACATATCACGTGATGGTAATGGTTCGGAAGATTTAGGCACTTCCATAAAATGCGCACATTCCATTTGGTTTGTGAGAATCCAGCGGTTTGGAGGATATTGATATGACAATTGACACATTCTTGGCATTGTTCTTTGTTTTGATTTGATGGAAAACAAAAAATATTCCTGAGATTCTTCAGAGATTTCAGAAGATGGAGTTCTTTTGCAGATGTATTTTATATTCCATTGCAGCATCGGTTCCACCATCAAAAAATTGGTGACGTCACGACAAGAAAGTGCATCTATCAGTGCGCACTCTCTTCAATGGAATGAAAAACACACCTAGATAGTTTATAGAATCGTTACATATAGGAGTTTTAAGAAAGGATGCCATTGGGCAACGTCGCCAGTTTCGGAGTACAACGGTTGTGGTGGCCAGTGTAGCCAGGTCTACCGTTTTGAACTGTGAATTACCGTTCTAACGTAGAGCCTGAATATACAGGGTGTATCTCAAATGATGACTTTAATTTCAGCTGGTGATTTCTTGTCATATTTCATGACAAAAAGTTCATAGAAACGAGTGTCCTAACTTGCTCTGTTTTCGAGTAACGGGGTGTCCAAAGTTTAATAAAATATCGGTTTTTCATGAATTACTCAAAATACTGTTCGCCGATTTTGATCAAACTTCGTGTGTTTGTGATTTGTAATACAAAGCTTCTTTTCATGAAAGTAGATTTTGAATTTTTTTTCCAGTGGAATGAAATATAAATAAACTAGCAGTTTGAATATCGATCAGATTTCCCTCTGCCACACCACTGGAAACAAAATTCAAAATCTACTTTCATGAAAAGAAGCTTCGTATTACAAATCACAAACACACGAAGTTTAATCAAAATCGGCGAACAGTATTTTGAGTAATTCATGAAAAACCGATATTTCATTAAACTTTGGACACCCCGTTACTCGGAAACGGAGCAAGTTAGGACACACGTTTATATGAACTTTTTGTCATGAAATATGACAAGGAATCAGCACCTGAAATTAAAGTCATCATTTAAGATACACCCTGTATACCGCTGAAATTTTCGTTCATTGACAAATTCGGCCACTTGTATTCGATAGTTCTAATAATCAACAATAATATGGCAACATACTGTTTGTGATTTTTTATTGTTGAAGAGTGATTCGAAAACCCCTAAACCCCCGAAAGCACCGGAAAAGCCTCTCATGCCGTATATGAGATATAGCCGGAAAGTGTGGGATGCTGTGAAGGCTCAAAATTCAGATCTGAAGTTATGGGAAATCGGAAAAATAATTGGGCAGATGTGGAGAGATCTTCCTGAAGAGGACAAAAATGAGTTTTTGGAAGAATATGAAACAGAGAAGGTTGGTTTGGAAATGAAGTGACTATCTATTTTTTACTTGTTTATTCACGAGTAAAATACAGACATGGGGCATATATTTCAGGTTGAATATGAGAAAACTCTGAAGACATATCACACTTCTCCTGCATACCTTGCATTCATCGCCGCTAGGACAAAAGGGAAAGCTGGTATGTTACCTATATAATTTCAATTGTCGTTCTCTACTCATACTGATATTATTCATTGAAACACCAGTACCCTGAAAGTAGTGAAAATAGGAATGACCTATGTTGAAGTTATTTCTCAAGTTGGCCATCAATTCTGTCTAATAGTTCTACTTATTGTGTATTTGTGATATTATCAGTTAATGTACGAAGATCTCTATAACCCTTGATTATTAACGCTAACAAGATGATCCACCTCGTAATGTTGAAGCCAATTTTGGCCTTACTTCTAGTAGTCCAGTCACCAGGTACATTTTACCTGGACAAAGGTCCGAAGTTGATGATCTTTTGATATGTTGTAAGTGGGTATTTCGTGGTGTGAAAACCAAGTTTTCCAATTCGAGAACCTTGTGCAAACTTCAGGGCAATCGAAAGACCAAAAATGTTTGCCTCTTTTTTCAGTATTTTGCTTATTACTACTAAAATAAGCACTTTAGTCAGAAATACTCTATCACAAAAGTTGTAGAGCATAAAATTTTCAACAATTTACATTCATAAACCGTTGCTCAAAATCTGATAGGTACCGAGATATGGCGCTTTGAAGTATCGACATTTCTTCCAAATATCGAAAAACTGCGAATAATGCACGTTTTTCTCAAGTAACTTTTATCTTTCACGTTTCAATATCCGTATATGAATAACTTTCAATAACCTGAACAATGGAAACCTCTTTCTCAATGAGATTTTGATTTATCAACTGAGTAAAATGATTACAAATAAAAAGCCTTCACTTTGCTGTTCCCTATGGCAGTTCGGCATGTTCGTCCTGAGCAATGGTCTCATCCATGACGACCTCCTCATCGCACTCAATGTCGGTATCTTCCTCGTTGAGTTCGGTTTCAGGCGAATTCTCACAAGCATTTCCTGCACAATTCTTGCAGATGGCTGAACACCGGAGTCCTGTTTTTTTGCAGCTGCAAGCTCCGGTGCTACAACCTGTCATGCACTTACATTGTATCATGTGCAGCAACTTTTCTGGAGCTGCATCTGTGGTCGTTGTTATGGGTATCAACCCTCGTTTTGTGAGAGTCCAGCCCCAAACAGACGGTGACTTTTCGTTGCCCAGCTACGTCTGCACTTGTAAATAAGTTCTAAAAGAATGGTACCGGGCAGCGTCTCGTGTAGGGGGCAATCGGGCAAGGTGAAATCTGGATTTTGCCACAGAGTTCGAGAATATTCGGTAGCGAAGATCGTCCACAGTGTCTGTGTCTATGTTTCCACCGTAGAGTGCCACAAGAAATTTTTCTCCTGCTACCGAAATTTGGCGTGGTGTTGCATCTTCATCTTTGAAAACACTTACAATGTCAGACAGAAAATGGTTTTTCTCATAAATAGAGAGGACTTTCTTCTTTCCCACTCCAAAAGGGTTCGATGTAGTGTCACACCCGCTGTCCTTGCCTCGAGTTCTATCTCCTGTTCCTGAGATAAGAGCAAAAAACTGATTTTTTTCATATTTATGTATATTGAGAACGGAAGCCCGGAGAAAAATTTCGTAAAGAAAAAACATTCCTCTTTTTTATGAGGAATCTACAGTTTTCCGTTGTTACACTTATTTATTAACACCCTGTATACCCATTTGAAAATGATGGAAGCTGAAATAAGTATACTAGTGAAGAACAAGAATTTCTAGCAGTTTTTCGATATTGTGAGAGTTTGAAGCGCTATATCTCGGTACGTATTTGGTGAAAAAAATAAGTGATAGATGATAATAGTAGGAAATTTAATCCTCTTTAAGTTCTGTAACTTCGTGTTTTCCGCTTGAACGCGTTGTTTAGGAGTTATAAGCAAAATATTGAAAAAAGTCCGAAAATTTACTAGTTTTTCGGATGCCCTGAAGTTAGCACAGGGTCCTCGAATTGGAAAACTTGGATTCTACACCACAGACTTGCCACATCCATCATATGAAAAGATCGTTAACTTCGGATCTTTTTCCAGGTAACCCCACTGTGAAGTACAGGGTGACTGGACTATAGGCGTAGGCGGCGCTAACAAAATATGATCGATTTGTCAATACCCTCGGAATCTGTTGCTGAACTATCTAGGAATATCCTTCCTGAAGTAGGAGAATCAGACGTTGATATTTTGACTTGGAAATAATGAAAATATTTTAAATCAGCCCTAATGCGACATTCCTTCTTGCATAAAAACATCTAAAAATGAACTTTGAATAAATTCTGCATTACCGATCCCTACCCTTCGCTACTCAATAAAACGTAGTTCACCATTTCTCTCTTATATACCGGTACCTACTGAATAGAATTTCTGGCTTCATTGCTCTCATGAGGATGTTTCATCTTAGTGTAAATTATCAAGGCTACAATTAATGTAAAGAATTCAATCATATTAATGCTGATGTTTTAGCCGTTCTTTAACAATTTCAGGTACGCAAGGTACTGATGGAGATACTCATGAACGGCAAAGTAGTTCATCCAAACAGACTGCTGCCGATAGACGGATTGATATTCAACCAGCTGAAGATGAAGATGGTAAGAAATGTTAATTAGAATTTCAAAAAACTTGCAGAATTTTAATACAGTAATATTCATAAAAAAGTAAGATTGCAGAAATACATCGGATAGTTCAAAGTTCTCATATTTTGAACTGTATCAGAAATATCCATAATGCTACATATCTGAGTAAACATTGAATCAACGGTTTTTCTAATGGATTCAAAGTGTCATATAAGAGTATTTTAAAGTGGTGTAGATGAAGTGTATAATAACAATAAACAAAAGCGAAATCAAAGGTGAAATGGTATTTAATGCAACAATCATGTAATGATAGCTATTAATACACGAGCACGAGGTAAGTTACTATAGGAGCCGAAGGCGAAGCTAGTGTATCCGCGATAATACAAGTTGTCTTTGGGTCAGACAAAGATTATACATCATGTGAGAATTTTCAAGATGAATGAAACAGTCTGGGCATTGTCGTTCTAAATAAAAACCTAGTTAGTAGGCGAGAGGTATAATATGGTCTTTTCATCCAAAGAATGCAAAAATAGCCCTTATTGACCTCATTTTCAGTAAGCTGGTGACTTCTATTCCGCACTTAGTTTTTCATTTGTTATACTAAACTAAGACATTTTTCCAAATTCCTGTCGAGATTCACTTTTCTGTCACCCTTGGGAGGTAAAATAAATTGGTTTTACTTGCTTCCTTGGTAGAGATATAGGTACGTATAAACTCTGTGCTGCTCAAGTACCTAATCAGTGTCTCCATCACTACTATAAAACGAATAACAATTTCCTTTTCGAGCTCAAATGATCTCATACACTTCCTCATATTCCAAACTTACTCAATCGAAAGTTTACAGTCACGCAATAAACAAATTCAATGTGACAGAAGTGTCAAATTGATTTTCGTTCAGATATTATTACTAACTCTAGATCATGTAACACATTGATTTGGATCGACATTCGAGAGAAAGAACGCTTGAAGCACAATTTTAAAAACTACGCTCTCAAATATATGCGTTTGTGAGTAAAATCGTATATATAGGTTCATTTCCTCCCATGTGTGTTTAACGCGGGAGGAAATGGATACCTTTGATCCCTTCATATATAAATAGCTATTATCGTCTCCTCTGGGGAGCGTTCGATTATTGATTCTAAGAGTAGAGTAATGTTAGTTGGATGTTTTATCTTTAACTCTGAGTTAATTACTATTCCACGTACGAGATTTTGAGTTACTTTATTGACATAAAATATGTGTTAGGTACTGCAATAGGTTCTACAATAGGCACTGATAAAGCATTAAACAATGAACCTCATCAAAATATGATGCGTCTCATTTCAGTCACATGTGTGTCCTTGATAATGTTGAAAAACGTACTTACCAAGTTTGAATTCTTTGAGGATATTAAAACAATCATAAACTGCGTTTCAAATTTCCCTAACCTATTTTGAAAAAATGAAACAAAATTCTTCATCCTTGTTCGCCCTGTAATAAAAGTGTCAAATCAGTGGAGTAAAATATACCCACCTATTTTGTGGATTTTGTTGTTCAAATTCAAGCATATTTGTGCAATCAACTTGGATGTTAATTTTTTTAGGGAATCACAAATTTTATGTTTGTTGCAACGATATTTAGCTCAACTTTAAAATTTCGCAAACCATATTTTTAAAACAAGGTATAACATTAGTCATGATAATTTGCATATTCAAAAACTTTCATTTAATGTGAACATTTTGTATTTGAAATGTTTATGAAAAAGCTGTACAAATCAATCAACAACCATGATATCATTTAAAATAATCACGAATACATAAGGAACAGAACAAATGAGGGTTGACAGTGAACATGTCTGGTGACATTAACTTCTCATCTAATGATGTTTTACTCAACAAACATAAAATTTGTGATTCCTTCAAAAAGTTATAATCTGAGTTGATTGCACAAATATTCTTGAATTTGAACAAAGGTATTCTCAACTGATTTTGTTTTAACTCATGGAAGTGTTTAGGGTGAATTTAAAAAAAAATTACAAATTGGGAAATTAATAACGAGAAGAATTGAAAAACTAAAAAATGTCATAGGAGGCCATGTTTTGGTATTTTGGAATGACTTTGAATTGTTAACTTTTCTCAATAACTTTTGACTTACTTTTCTGAAATACGGGCACTTTAGCCATGAGCAAATTTTAAATTTTTTGACCTACCCTGTATGCTGTTTGAGTTGCAACCTAAGTGCACCTTAAATCATTATTGAACATGCACCAACTTTTGGCACTATCTGTATTTTGGTTGTGCAATTCATTAAAAAGATTCCCATATGTTGCACACTTAAATGACCACACTGTATATGAATATGACATTACTTGAGTATTTATTAAACAAAACCTATCTCACATAGAAACCGAATCGTTTTTTTTACAAGGAAAGGTTGATCTGAGGAACAAAATATACCAAGGAATTATTATTTCTTTCTGATTTCATCTTGCTGTTTTTTTTTTCGTAGATCAAGACGACGGGTACTCGGTGAAGCACGTAGCGTACGCTCGCTACCTGAGGAACCACCGTCTGATCAACGAAATCTTCTCGGAATCCGTGGTGCCTGACGTCAGATCTGTCGTGACCACCGGCCGAATGCAGGTGCTCAAACGGCAGGTGCAATCTCTGACGATGCACCAGAAGAAGCTCGAGGCCGAGTTGCAGCAGATCGAAGAGAAGTTCGAGGCGAAGAAGAGCAGGTTCGTGGAGAGCAGCGAACAGTTCCAGGAGGAACTGAAGAAGGTAAATAACGCGGTTTTATGGTCCTTGGGTCCAGGAGCCTCTTTCTAAAGTGATTTCCACTCTGTACTAAAGTGCCTGGAAGATCTCACGTTCAATGCTTTTTTAAGAGTGAGAGTCAGGCTTTTGACTGTGTTCTACACAATATTTTGAAAGACAATCTTCATAAATATAGTATGAGAGAAAAAGAATACAAGTAGTTATCTTTGTACCTAGATAACAGGTTAAAATCCGTCAAAATTATAGATAAAGGAAATACATTTATGTCTGAATGCACAAGGAGTTCCACATGGATCCATACTTGGACCCCTTTTGTTTATCTTTTACATAAATGAGTTACCTTCTGTTGTACCAGAGTCTTTCACCACACCTCTATTCAAATTTAGAATGAAAACAAATGAGAATCGTATATGGAGATTAACATAATATGGGTTTTTGAAAATTATTTTTACATGTTCAATACACACCTGGAGTTTGGTGCGTTTCTTCCTAGTCACACTATATAATTTACAAAGTTTTTCAATGGCCTTGTTACTGATGCGCTTTGTAAATATCGAAATATTTTATAAGAAGCATGAAAAAATAGATATATTGTTGGGATATGAGTTGGTTCATAAATTTTTGTAGTTTGTTTCATTTATTTATTTATTTATTTATTGAAAATGTTACTTCCAGTCAGAATCAAGTTCTGGTATAAGGAAGTATAGTTAACAATAATACCTTAAACTATACAATTATAATAAACTAATGAATAATAAAATATTTGAAAACATTAATTATTAAATTTTGACAAATCATTTCATATTGGTGAGCAAAAATCAATTTGGATATGAATCAAAAGTTGAAAAAAAAAAGTCATCTATTTCGTTCAGAAATGATAAATTTTTTAAGATGGTATTTAAATTTAATTGTATTTCTGTAATTTTTCATATTATCTGGTAATTTTTTATATTCCAAGAGAGCAGCGTGGGTGAATCTTTTTTGGCCTATAGAAGTATTAGCGATATCAAGATGAAATAAACCATGTTGTCTAGTTTGATAATTATGAATTTCATTATTTCGTGTTAAAATAAAATTAGATTTCAATCTTTTATTTATGATATTGTATGTAATTTTCAGTCTTTCGATTTTGAACATTTCTTCTAATGAGAATGATTCAGTTATTTTATATAATTGATTTGTTGGTGTATCATATGGTAAACGATACAGTACTTTCAATGTCTTTTTATATAATGCAGATATTTTATTGAAATTGTTTTTTGAACAGTATCCCCAAACATTTATCAAATAGTTAATACGACTGAGTATATGAGAATATAGAATTATATTTGCAACTTTTTTATTCAGCTTGGGACATCTTCTCAGGGCTCCAATAATAGGAGATATTTTTTTCGTCAAAACATTTATATGTTTGTCCCACTTTAATTTATCATCAAACCAAATCCCAAGATACTTCTTCTCATTAGTTTGTTTCAAAGAGTCATTTTCAATTCTGAGATTTAAATTTATATTTTGTTTATTTTTTTGTTGAAAAATCATATATTCAGTTTTATCAGTATTTATTGATAAGAGGTTTGAATGCAGCCATTTTTCAAATTTCATCAAGTCTCTGTTTATTATATTTTCTAAAATGATAGGATTCTTATTTCCATACAAAAGTACCGTATCGTCTGCATAAATAGTGTAATTACATTCTGTATCAATTTTCGTGATATTTTGAATATATAATAAATATAAAATTGGTCCTAAAACAGATCCTTGAGGGACACCTTTAGTCATCGGTAGTCTATGAGACTCTGAGTTGGTAGATTTGGTACTGATTGTCCTATTTCGAAGATACGAATCTAAAAGGTTCCTGCATATTATTATTCGCCATAGTATGGAAAACATGTAAACTTCCACATAGTCAGGTAACAGAAATTGTAAAACATTCTGCACTCACTATTTTTATAGCCACCAACAAATTAGGTCCCCAGCATTCATAGTCCATAAATAATGCTGACATTGGTAAATCTTCAATGTTGGTTAAATTGAAACTAGGGTGTGACGAAACACTTTGTCAGTAACAAGGTAAACATGAGACTTTGATATGGAAAATATTGCCACACTAGAGAAATCTACTAAAAAAACTGTAAATTATTTGAATACAAGGTTGATACCTACTCAAAATATCGTTTCGCAAAAAAGTATCCAACTTTCACAACAACCGCAAATCTCTTATCATTTAAAATGAGTGAGTTATCCTGTAAGGATATTTCAATAAACAATTACATGAAGACATAATTCTCCGCTGGTGAAAATGTAAGTTTCAGGATTCCTTTTTCTGATTCAGCTTCATTTTTGATAATCCAGTTCTCTATTTCAAACGAATTCTATTCAAGTTTATGTGAAATTTAAAAAAATGGCTCATAATCATTAACCGTGTTCCGTCCCGAAAAAATCATAATTTTTCGTTTTGCAGCATTGTAAACCAGCAGTTGACGATGAAACATTCCAGAAAATAGTTGAACGGCAATATGAGATACTGAAGAAGGACAAAAATAAGGGTCAAGAGGAAACCAAGTCCAAAATGGAGGAAAACGGAGAAAACGAACCCACTCCTACGGCCATGGAGACGGAAGAAAATGGCGATACAAATCCAGATCTACAGTACAGTGTGTGAACATACAGACAATTTTATATGAATATAATAATATTAATTAAAGTAATCAAGTGACAAGTGGCGTATTGATTGTTTTTATCTACAACTGCATGATATGCACGATATGCAGGCCCCATAGGTAGGCAACAACAAGCGTCTACCTAGACCAGCGAATCTTTCAAACATCGAGGTCAAGTGACGTCACCCACAATACATGATATTTCTTCCTTCTTTATATTGAGAAACTACTACGAGCAACGAGTAAAGGTATGTTCATGCTTGTACGAATTCCGCAAAATTTATGCGAATAAAATGGCGACTGCGAATATCGTAATGAAGTTGAAATATTTGAACTTTTTTACAAATTCGGATGGAATCATGACCACATATTTAATGTGTTGTTATTGTGATAACATCAAAATTGGGGAATACAGAGCGGACAGCAGAGGCCGAAAAAAGAGAATAGATCCTAGACTAATCTATGCTACAGGTAAGTACAGAACTATATAATTAAAAATTTCATGAATACATTTGACTAAAATTTTCTTCGTAGGATAAATGGATTCTCTGTACGAATTAAGTTCAAAGTATCGTCTTTATGGAACTAATGATGCATCCAGAAGCAAAAAAAGGAGAAGCATTTTTAAATGCCGAAAAAATGAGTGAAGATTAGTACAGCCTCGTTCGATAAATGCGACTGAATGCTAATAAATATTTCATTTCAATTTCGTGTAACGTGCCTTCAATTCGATGCACTTTTATCAATGGTGGGACCAGAAATAAAGAAATCATATGACAACATAATCCTGCTTCAGGTTATTTTGTCACATGAGTATGAACGTCGAATTCTGTTGGGCATTTCATATTTTGCGAATCGCATAAATTTTGCGGAATTCGTACAAGCATGAACATACCTTAAAGCGATAGCTTAGTAGTCAGTGTTTCTGACTTCCACGCTATAGTGCCTGGGGTTCAATCCCTGCGAGGCGTAGTTTTTTTTTTAAATTCCCAATGAATTTTTCAAAAATATACTTTTCAGCATAAAAGCTGCCGAACTGAGTATGCCTGATCTAGCAATGTCTGGTACTTACCAACATTCCCAGAAAGTCCACTATATATACCGGGTGACACAGGTTATCGGGCCACCCCTGTAACTTCTGCATTCTACAACGGATTTTTCTGAAATTCGGTACAGTTATATAAGCAACTATTTCGGATTTGATCACATTACAATCCAATATGGCGGACGTCCGGTTTTTCTGGAAATGCCAGCAATTTTGTTTTTTCAAATGGAACACCCTGTATATTTTTACATATTCAAGTTCAACAGGTCAAAACAAGTGCAATCTCGATGTCAAATGTCATTTATTCCACAGCCTACCTAGTTGAAAAATTATTCTAACTGCAAGGAAATTCATAAACTAGTTGTTGATTTTTGAATGTATACAATTTGTTACTGCACCGAAAAACAGAAATGATATGTCATTTTGTTCCTTAATGTATGTTCTAGATCTAGAGAGACGGGTAGGTGGCCCATAGGGGTTCCATTTGAAAAAAAATTATTTTTGATCAAAAAGTGATGTGGCTGAATTGATTCCTGGATAAGTGACACAAAAAATAATTTTTCAGAAAAACTTATGTTTATCTGTTATGTGTGACTCATTGTGAATAGTCTTGACCACATCTCATTTATCCACGAGGTAAAATGAAAAAACAATTTTAATTTAAATTTTTTCGAAAAAATGACATTTGAAATAGAGATTGCACTTGTTTCGACCTGTTGAACTTGAATATGTAAAAATATACAGGGTGTTTCATTTGAAAAAACAAAGTTGCTGGCATTTCCAGAAATACCGGAAGTCCGCCATATTGGATTGTAATGTGATCAAATCCGAAATAATTGCTCATATAACTGTACCGAATTTCAGAAAAATCCGTTGACGAATGCAGAAGTTACAGGGGTGGCCCGATACCCTCTGTGTCACCCGGTATATATTATATGCTCTGTATTTCTTTCAACAATGATGGTATTAATTTCTGCTGAAATTTACCTGATATACTTACTTTTGCAACTTTATTTCACCATAGTTAACAGAGCATTAAACGTGCGATGAGAAAACTGAATAATTAGAAAAGTACATTATTGTAATGTTGAGAGAAACAATAAAATCTGAATAATGGGCCATAGAATAAGAAGATATAAAAGTAGTGCTGCTCAAAGTAAAACACACTATATAAGTATATATTCCTCATATATTCTATAAATTGAGAGAACATAAATTATGTTTCTTCACACAATCATCGCCCTTGTTAGAAAGTTCTTCGGCAGAAGGAAAATATTGCAAAAAAGCGAGGCTCCCCTTCATTTCACTTTTCCCTTCATTCTTCAGCATGTTCTGCATACCTTTGATGTAAGGGGTAATTTTACATATCAACAGTTGGATGCAACCAGATTCTCCATCTGCACTTCTCTCGGTTACATACTCCATGACCTCTTCCGACAATTTTTCGTCTTTTGTGTGTTCCAGAAGTTCCGCCACAGCAGAATTATTGAGCATCCAATCGATTGGCGAACTATTTTTTGATCTCTTGTATTCATCCAGCTGTGAGGGTGGAGTCAGTGAAATGGAATTACTTATCTAGAAATGGAAAATCTAGATTGATTTTGGGGGTACATAATTATACAGGGTGTATCTAAATAACAATGAAAAAATTCAAGGGATGTTTCCTTGACATTCTAGAAAATGAAGTGTACGATATAAACATGTTTCATAACTTGCTCTGTTTTTGAGATACAGGATGTTGAGGTTGGAAGTATTAATTGTTTTTATTTATAATAATAATGATAATAATCTTTATTGTACTATATATGATACATAAACTAAAAAATAATGTACAAGCCAGTCAAACAGAAGAAAGTGATAATGAATATGAATAGATTTATACAACATTCGAAAATATATGCTAATTAATTCTAGAATACAAAATGGAGGTATCCGTTCACTGAATAAGGTTTTAGATCCAGAAGCATTGTGATAAGTGGTTTTTTATTTCATTCAAATTTTTATTGTTTTTGATGGCTATATAAAGGTAGATGGTTGAAAAACTGGATGCTTGAATACAATTAAGCACCTCTTTCATATCAGTAGACGACAGATGGTGACGTGGAAAATTCAAGTTCGATATAAGTCTTGTTCCAGACGAGTGAGGGATTATGAAGAGTTCAGAGAAATGTATGTTTTTATATGAGAATTTGTGACATTCATATATAAACTGCTAGTATAGTGAGTAGTCCAACTTTTCTGAAGTAACTCCTGCATGAATCATGGTATTTCAGATTGATTATTATGCGAATTGCCCTTTTTTTGAATTTTGAAAATCCTTTCAGCCTACCCACTATAGCTCCCCATAGTATAATAACATAGCTATCGCGAGAATAAAAATTGGCCAAATAAAAGGTTCTATTGTTATATTGAAATTGGAGTTCTTCATGAGAATTCTTATGCCATATATATAGCAAGCCTGGCTCATTTTTTTTTGAATAACCCCCTGTATGAGCTTCCATGGTGCCTAAATTCAGTATGGATAGAGACTGAGAAAAGCTCCAAAATTCCAGAATGATTCTGATCAGGGTTATTATTGAGTAATCTCAATGGAAGTCTTGAAAACACCTACATTAAAATTTGTAGTCAAATCGAATTTTTATTGTTTCCTCAAAAACTAAGCAGATACAAAAATCTAATAAGAATATACTCAGAAAAACCAGTGGTGTACATATAATGACATTCACCATGAATATCGAGAAATTTACCCACTGTGACACCACTGGAAATATTATTTCGAATCTAATTGCACTAGACGAAGCTCGATCCATATTACTATTAAGGAAACCACAACGTTTTATTGAAATTGATGGGAAGACTATTGGGGAATGAATATAGAAAAATGATTTTTCATGGAAATATTACCCTCTGTATCTTGAAAACGAAGCAAGTTAGGACACATGTTTATATGAACTTTATTTACTAAAATATCACATATAGGGAATAGCCCCTTGAATTTTTTTGAAGTTATTAAGATACACGGTATACATCAGGGTGATTATTCAAAAATGAGCAATCTCTGAGCGATATTCAGGGTCTTCCATCTCAGACGAGCCAACCTGTATACTTCTTATCCCATAGTGGGTGGAAAAATGTCCCGAAACACGTCGAATGATTCTTTTTTGGGACATCTTTCGACCTGTATTTCAGGCTTGAATGAGCAACTCCCTAATAGGGGGCGCTTCAACCCCTCAAACTTGAATATCAGTATCGCACCATTGGATAAAATGTCCGGAATACCTTTCTGTTCAAAAAATGACCCATTCAATGACGGTGGCTTAATCTTCATATTTTGGTATTGGCTATAAAGGGGGGTTCCATCTCAGACGAGCCACCCCGTATATTTATTATTCCATAGTGAGTGGAAATTTTTTTCAAAACACGTCGAATGATTTTGTTTGGGGGACATCTTTTTATCAATATTTTGAAGGACAATTTTAACATTTGATTCAAACACGCAGATTTGATTTTTTAATTATAATCATGATAGAACAATTCAATTTTTTTAAGAATGTAATTTTTTCAAGATTGCTCAAGTTTGTGAGGAGGGCTTCATAAAAGTGGGCTTCTAGATTGTAAAAATAACCAAAATATTCAAGGTCGTTCATTCGAGCTACAAAATTGATTTTGGCGAAAACGGTTTATCGAATTTACGTTTTTTATACACCATTGTAAAGAGGCTTCCAAGACCTTTCGAATAAAGTATCACTCAACCCCTCTCCCCTATAACACATATATATGCTATATATACAGTATGATGCAAATGTATGGAATAAATTCATTATTTCAGAAATGGGCGACATTTGAAGAAATTGCAAAAACACGTGAGTTTTAATTTTTGAAACCTCATCTCATGACATTCATATGAGAGATGTTACGTCACCGGTGTTGGAGTAATGACGTAATGGACGGTTTTTT